GTGTTGGGCTCACATGGAGTCCAGATGTTTGGTGTGAACCTGACCAGGACCACCACAGTGGATCATGGTCCTGACAGTGAAGCACGGCGGTGGCAGCATCATAATAGCAGGTGATACAGTTTAGAATCATCTGATGTCTAAATGATGTTTTATGCTGGTCCTGCAGTGTTCTGTAGCTTTGTTGTTGAAGGTTCTGGTCATCAGGTTCTACAGAATCTGATCTGTGGTTTGGACTGTCTGAATGTAACTTACTGTTTTCAATAACACGTCAGTGTCACTGGTCAGTGGCCAAAAACAAAATCTTCGTTTTGACAAATTTTGCTTCACACACACACAACAATAAAAACAAAGAAGAAGCCTGTGAAGGAGACAACATACCGCTTCTGATGCAATGAGGGAGGGGCAACACTCTGATTATTAACAACAGTTTTTCTCCTCAGTCCTTTTTTATAAACCCTCTTATTCTGAAAGGGTGAGGGGTGATGATGATGATGGTGCAGTCCTGTCAATCAAAACAAAAAGCCCCGCCCTCTGAGCCCAGCCCCGCCCCCTGCAGACAGACTGGTGTTTCTGTCGCTGCGTCGTCCTCCATATTTATTCTCCCACCACACACACTCCTTATTCCGTCCACACACACCAGCTGACCGTCCTCAGTGTGTGTGTCCATGTGGGTCATTCTGTCAGTCCAACAGGCTGCTTACAGTCCTTCACCTGAAATTTACCTGATTTCAGCAAGATAGGAGGCTCCGCCCCCAACACACCACACCTTCTGATTGGATAGTCCAGAGGCTCCACCCCAAAACACCACACCATCTGATTGGATAGTCCAGAGGCCTCCCCCCCTCCCCACCCCACATACTATACTTTCTGATTGGATACAGTCCAGAGGCAGCGCCCCCAAACCTACCAATCCTTTTGATTGGATAGTCCAGAGGCCCCACCCCCAACAGGTCAAACCTTTTGATATGGTAGTCCAGATGCCCCGCCCCCAACACATCACACCCTCTGATTGGATAGTCCAGAGGCCCGCCCCATTCTCCAACCTGCACCGCTTAAGGACCAGTCCTCTCTTTCTGTTTACTTCTACCTCGCTCGCCCCTCCATCAGTCCAGTGCTGCTCGTCCTCTCTGCTTTAATCCAGTCCAGCTACCAAACTTTTAGACTTTTAACCTTTGAAGTATCAAAATCCTGCAAAGACAAAGAGCTTAAAGAAGAAATTTAGCAGAAAACAAAGTTTAAACTTCACTTTCTTTTATCTCAGCTAATTAAATGTGAATTAAATTAAAATGATGATTTCAAATTCAACTGCTGCTCAGCTTTAGCCTCCATAAATGGAAAATTTAAATCCTGAACTGTGATCTATGCCTCTGTGACGCTAACGAGGATTTCTACTTCCTGCCTGACACCGTACAGACTTCGACCGCCGACGCAGAACGTGGCGTCACTCCGTTCGAAGCTCCAGACGGAAAAACAACAACCAGAGAGCTGGCTAGTGTGACGGCTAGCCGCCGGCCAAAGGCAGTGACCGTCTCCGTCGTCCGGCAGCAGGTGGCGCTGTGGTCGCCGCAGCAGAAGAAGAAGAACAGGAAGCTGGAGGAGGAGCTTGGTGATTGGCTAACCTTCCCGGCTCTCGCTGTGGCGGTCTGCCTCTGGGCCGCGGCTCTGACGGCGTCCGACGTTTGTGACGAACACGGCGAGCCACCTGGTGGACGTCCACGCTTTCGTCCAATGGGAACAGGGCACAGAGCTGAGCTCCGATGTCTGGCTGTATCTCCTGAAAAAATCAAATTCAAAGAGGTCAAACACTTGACAGGTGACAGGAACTGAGACACAACCAGAGAAGATGGCAGAGAGCCGACCTGTCCGTCACGTCCGATCTTCACGGGCTTGTGTTCGTTCCAGGGGTTGGTCAGGTGGGCGGTCTTTATGAACGGGAGCTCCCTCCTGTGGAGCAGAACACCTGAGTTACACCCCTCAGTTATACGTTTTGTATCTGAGACGTATAAAACGTACCACATGTTCAGGCTGTAGCATCTCCAGCCAGCAGCTGTTTGAAGGTAAAGTTCTGTTGCAGTTTCACCAGAGAACACCTGAATAACTCACCTGCCGTCAGAGTAGCTGGAACTGATGCTGCTGACGGTGCTAGGCTAATCCTAACCCTGAGAGGTTAGCTGTGCCTCCTAGCCTGCAGCTAATGCTAGCTGGAGCACGAGCACTAATGTGTTTCTAAAGTCAGGTTAACTTTAACTCTCAGTTCTGCCGGACAGGAAAAACAACCTGCAGAAACTGAACAAGAAGCTCAAACACCAACACAAATCAGGACTTTAGCTGCTTTCACAGCAGCTAATGCTACGTTAATGCTAGCAGCTAAGTTAGCAGGCAGCCATAGATTAACCTAAAACTGTGTTTGAAAACAATAAAATATAAACCTTTAAGATCTGGACCTTAGAGGGAAACAGAAGAGACAGAAAACAGGGGAGCAGACGGAACTACAGGAGACAAGCTGGTATTGATTGTAATCAATGATCGATCAGTATGTAGCTTATGTTGAACCTGCTTCATGAGACAGAAGTCTGGTTCAGGTGTTTACCTGCAGAGCCAGTCGATCTTAAAGACTCCGCCCAGCATCTTGGCATTCATGCCAGCAGGAAGAACCCAGTGAATCGGAGAGCCGCCATGATGGGACTCCGATGCCAGACGAGCAAAACCTGCAGGTAAAAAGACGGCACACCGGTGAAGAAGAAGAAGGTGGTGGAGGACTGACAGCATGTGCGCCGTTGAAAACACAACTTCCTGTTCGCACCTTGGAACTTGCCGCTCTCCCTCACAGAGAAGACAAGAACGACACTCCGAGCCGAGCGGAAAGCTGCATTCAGCTTCTTCTCATTGACCGGCAGCGTCGACCAAACGCCCTGCATGCCAGAGACATCATGACATCAGCCGTTACATCATCACGCCATGACACACGACACGAGAACAACGGCGAGGCGGCGTACCTTTGCTTTGGCCAGCGACACATTCTCGTGGTTGTTGCTCTTGATGAGGAAGAATCGGGCGTCTCGTAGGATGTAGCGCAGCTTGCTGGTCGGATCTGGAATGAAAAGGAGTGACAGGCGGTAATCTGATTACTCTGGGCTCGGCGCTTTCAGAAACACGCTGCAGAACAACACAAGTGTTTCGTAGAATTTTGGGCCTCCTTACTCTCCATCCCTTTACGAACAGCTCGGACTGATGAGGACAGCTTCTCCCGCTTCTTTTCAGAACCTATCAGAATAAAAGCACAGGCTGAGTCATGCTGTGCATGCACTAGTACGTTTATACACACTTCAACATCAGAAAGGTTCAATATTGTCATTGGCTGTAGTTAGTTGTCATGGTTACCTGAGGCCTCGGAGGCGGAGCCTGAGCGTGCCGACTCGCCCTCATCAGAGAAGCTGACGGAGGAGGCGGAGCGCGAGTCACCGGCCTCGCTGCGAGTGTCGTAGTCGTTTCCTTCGCCGCCTCCTCGCCGTTCGTACTCGTCTTCTTCCTCCTCCTCCTCCTCCTCCTTCTCTCCCTCCTCCTCCTCTTCCTCCTCCTCCTCCTCTTCCTCCTCCATCCCCTCTTCGTCGTCTTCCTCCTCCTCGTCCTCCTGATCCTCCTCGTCTTCATCCTCTACGTGGGAGGCGGCGGGGGAGGAGCTTCCCGACGGCGGCTCTGAGCCGTACTCCGCTGCTGTGTCCTCCTCTGATTGATTGCCCTCTTCATGGGGGGAGGGGCTGGCGCGCCGCTCATCACGCCGCAGCTTCTGAAGACAAACAGGAAGTGAATCTGATTAGCTGACAGACTGATCACTGATTGGCTGTGGGGCAGTGAGGCGTACAGTACCTGGCTCAGAACCTCCAGGCCTCTCTGTGACTCTCGCCGCCGTGCGTCCTCTCCACCGCGGCTCCTGGTGGCCTCACGGGCCCCACGCCGCCCCTTTCGCTCCTCGTAGTATTCATGTCGGTAGGCCGCGGTGCTGTGGCGTCCACGAGGGCTGGACGCCTTTTTAGAGGAGGAGGACAGGGGTGGCCCTGGGGCTCTCTTATTGGTGGAAGATGATCTGGAGGGGGCGTGGCTCGAAGAGGGGCGGAGCCTCTTCAGATCCTGGCTGTCAGAGCGCTCACTCTTCCTCTTTGTTCCTGACAGACAGAAATCAGGGTTTACAATGTGTAGTACTGTCTGCAGTACCGTCTGTAGTACCTAAAGTACTGTGTGTGGTATCTGAAGTACTGTTTGTAGTACCTTTCTTGTCGCTGACGTCACGCTCTGTCTCAGGGTTGTAGAGTTCATCATCCTGATCTGGAGCTTCAGTCAGTAAATCCTCCAGAACATTGAGTTCTCCGTCTGAAACACAGGACACCTGTCTGAGACACACCTCAATTCAATTCAATTCAATTCGCAATTTATTGTCCTTGCACATGTCACAAGTACAGAGCAACGAGAAGAACAGTTTACATCCCATCCAAGAAACATATAAAGACAGTAACACCAGGGGGAGACAGGAGGGGAGAACTGTCGTGTCGCCCAGCTTGCGGGGCAGGCACAGTGTGGGATTAGGAAAAAAAAACACCTCAGCACATCAGCAACATGATAAAACATCACAACAAGACTCAAGACTTGCACATGTGGGAGGGGTTCAGACGCTGGGGAGAGCCTGCAGCCACGAGGCGCCTCGCATCAGCCCACAGCATCCTGGTCTGTGACGGCGGAGGGAGAGGGGGTGGAGCCAACCAGGCGGTGAGTCCAGGGGTGTGTGTGTGTTGTGTGTCTTCGTGTATGTGTGAGTCCATGGACTCCATCGCCGGCCAGACTCAACAGTGTCTCTCACGTCTGATGCAGGTGACGGGACACGGCCGT